AATCAAGAGCCTCAAGGAATTTACTAATAGTAGTAGTTTCAGCGGGGCGAATAAGCTGTATACAAAGTCTAGAGTTAATATAGTCCCAAATACAGACTAGTTAGTTGAATAAATTATTCAACTGGGCGGCTTATATATAATAAATAACTTCCTGAGTAAATTACCCAACATGACAGCCCGCTTAAATATCTAAAAGACTATAATATAAACTATTAAGCTTAATTATAGCTGTATAGGGGCTTAGTTTAAACCACTTAGTCAACTCTTTAAGTTAGCTATTCTCTAGAGGTACCTCAGCTATAAGATACTTCTCCCTTTCTGTAAGGCCTAATATATACCACTGTAGGGTGGCGCCATGCATATAGGCCTGTAAGTTTAACTTTACTATAAGTTCTCCATAATATTAAATAATATCTTTTATATAATTAATAAATATATATATATTCTTATAGAATATATCTCTACTAATCTGTTTTATCGCTTCATCCGAGGTCATGTCGGGATAGAAAAAACTAATTTCTTTGGACTTTAGATCCTTAATATAAGTAGCTTGGTTATTGGCTATATCAGGATTTAGATTAATATTAGGATTAGCGATAGGGGGGCTTGCAGGGATTCTAGGGATTAATCCTTGTATATTTTGAATTAGATTCAACTATATTTATATTATATTAAGATGGGCTATAAGGGCTGCAAATTAATTATTAAGAAGAGGTCCTTGCTATCTAGGATTATTATATCTAACAGCAGGATTGATTCCTTCAGGATTACTTCTATAATTTCCACTACCAATACTGGATACACCGGAAGTATCAGGACTAATATTTATAGTATTAATATATAGATCTTTGCTAGTACAGAATTCAGTATTAAAATCAATATCAGTACTATAAGAATAGCGAAGTTCAGGCTTAGCTATCCTAGAATCTATTTATTCTAAAATTAGATTGGGTCTTTCAGACTGGATTTTAATATATCTGAATTCCTAATATTAATGTGTCTGTGTCTCGCAGCTGTATCTTAAAGCAGAAATACTAACGGGCCCAAGAGATGGGAATACACCAGTTAGAGATACTGTGAGTACAGGCAGTTAACTGGATAGTCTAAAAGATAAAGATTATACTTGACAAACTATCTAAGATAATAGGTCTTATATAAGATACTCTCTAGGTATCTTAGGATTAATATCTTCTTATAAATAATAAATTTCAGTAGTAGCCGGCGGAGTATGGATATAAAAGGGAATTAATATTAATAAATAAGTTATTAATCTTGACTATATCTGATTAAGTAAGATTTCAGATTCAACAAAGTTAATAGAGGGCTTCTATAAATAAGAGTCTTATATCTAAACAAGAAATAGTTCAGAGATAAGAAGATATTCAGTATATTTGAGAAAATATTAAATATCTTTATTAAGGACTAATTGATCTATATCCTAAGATAGAGAGTATAGATAGTTCTTGGTAGAGATGGGGATCAGTGTAAGGTATAAGAGGTAATAAGCTTGTAGTAATATATTACTATTAAACTAGTATGTATATAGACTGATTAAATTTATTAGGAACTGAATAATTTAATAGACTAGTTCTATTACAGATATTAAGTATCAAGATAACTTATTTGGATATAATAATAGGAAGATGAGACATGGAATATAGAAATAAGTAGAGAAAAAGATATTAGAGTAATAATTAGTTAGAAATAATAATTAATATAGATAGTTAGTAATAAGGTACAGAAGTAAATTTACTATAAATAAAATTTAATAAGGTATATATAGGGTATTTACTTACTTTACTAGTTATATAATAAGGGCAGGGCTCGATGACGTCTTATGACCCATAGAGAATGAATAAGAAAGGCAGGAAGACAGGCGACCGGCAGAACCACAGTGTAACTGACTGAGAGGGGGGTGTATCAACTAAGGGTATCCATAGTCAATAGTAATAATAAAGGGACGAATAAATAAAAGACAGAAGTAATAAAAAGTAATTAGAAGTTACTAGGCAGGACTATAGAAATATACACAGTATCTGGAGCCCAGGATATGCTACCAAATGTCAAAGTCGGTGGTAGGGAAAGATCCTTATAATATCATTATTATCATAAAGTTGTTGATTCTCTCAGGATCCCGCGACTGGACGAACTAGCTAAGATTCGCCCAAGGCGGAACAACGGGGCAGAATCCTCAACACCACCTTCCACTATTACATAGCTTGATTACTATAATTAAAAAGATAAAGATAATTAGCTGTAATACAGCTAGAACTCCTATTCCTAGACCCCCTATAATAGATATAGATACAGACAGATAAACATACTCTATATATCTAATAGATCTCCTAGTATATTATACTATAAATACTACTAACTAGTATTCTAGACTATAATATTCTTAAGACTAGTAGTAGATCTTATATTAGTTACTACTACTCTTTAAAAATCTTAATCAACTAGATAATAAGATATTACTATAGTAAAGATAGTTAAATAATAAATAGAAAGTCTAATAAAGATATTAATATAGATCTAATTATTATATGAATAATTATTAAGAATAATATTCTTATTACAAATATTTTATTGATATATATTAAGATTATTTCAATAATAATTATTAAGAATATAATAATTCTTAGAGATATTAGAGAAACTAATATAATAGAAACTACTATAGTAACTATTCTTTTATAGACTTTTATATATTCTAGTATAGTTATAATTAGTATAATAATCTTAATTATCAAAAATCTTCATTTATTTAATATAAATTTAAATACTAATTATTAAAATAATAATAGATACTTTTTTCAGATTGATTGATTGATCGATTGATTGATTCATACACGCATATGTTAGCCCTATAGGCCGAGTGGCGGCAGGTTCCTGTCCTGCGGCCGGGCTGGCCGTAAGGGTGTTAAAATCATATATAAATAGAATATTCAGCCAGTTGGCCAGTTAGCCAGTCCAGTTGGCCAGTTGGCTTTTCTTTTTCTTTGAAATTTTAACTCTTATATAGTCTTTTATAGTCCTATATAGATTTCTTTTCTATATAATAAACTAATAGTATTAGTAGCTATTAGATATACTTTATCTCTATATTTATCTTATAGTATTCTTCCTTCTACTAGTAGCTGCTACAGTTACTAGTTTATTATATAGTTTAGTATTAAGATTATCTCTTAGTATTCCTTTACTAGTTGACTTAAAGACCCCCAGATCTTATAGTCTTATTATAATGAATAAAAGCTGGCTAACTAAAGAAATTAGACTTACTAGTAGATTTCTAGTTATCTTAATCTATTAATTAAGATGATTAGAGTAGATAAAATAATTATTATAATATTTAGAATAGTATTAATTAGATTATAGAACTAGTCTAGTAACTAGATATATAATATAAAGTAGATTACTTAGTATACTAACTTCTTACTAAAGATATACTAGAAGTTAGTAAGCTTTCTCTTAGTCTAGAGAATACTCTACTAAAGAAAGTTATATCTTAAATACTTAATAAGAATATATTTAATTAATTAAGACTTTTATCTATAGAAGAATATATTTAATTTAGTAGCTTTAATAATATTTAAATAAGTACTTAGAGTAATCTTACTAGTTAGTATCTAAACTAGTACTAAGAACTAGATCTAATGGAGACTAGTATATAAGCTAAGAATCTTCTTATTCTTTATTATATTAGTAAGAATATAGTAGATATAGTAGTTATATAGATTACTAGTCTAGTTAATCTTCTATTATTAATTAGCTAACTTCTATAGATACTAGTATAAAGTAGAAATTAGTAGAGTATTAACTAGTTAGTCTATAGTTTAGATAGTAATCTTAGTATATTAATTAGTAAATTTAGTATCTAGTATACTCTTATAGTCTAGAAGCTACTAGAAATATATCTATTAATTAATAGTTTATATATAATCTAACTACGGAGGCGTGTACCAAAAGTTATAGAACAACACTAATTTTCTTGGCGTATTACAGGCGTATAGCCTACCATACTAATTTATATAACACATCAAATGCATGCAGATCCATAAAGAAATCAATAAAACGCCCGAAATAGTTATTAAATAAAGCTGGAAATCGGTCTTTTAGAGTATATTCAATAAGTTTCTAGTATTTTAACACCGCGATTTTTACCAAAGAGGACCTTCTCCAAGGTCCTGATACTTAGATAACTTACCCTTATAATATACACCTTATCATATTCTCAGATCAGTGTTAAAACGGCCCTCAGCATAGCTATTCCCACTATTAAGCTTGATAATCTTATCAACATAGTGAATTAAGTATTTGATCCAGAGCTATATATATTTCTAAGATAGTTCAGCCCAGGTCTTCTACTATACTAATTCTGTGGTCTTCTTATCTCTCGCTGCATCTCAAGAGATTATACGGCGTTTGAGCTAGGACTAAGTAGCTTTAATTATATTTAAATTAGGCGAGTTTCCCAGCTATTTAAGAAGTCTTTGAAGCTTCTGTATAGAGAATAATATATATATAAAATAATATTTATAGGCTGGTGCCCCGTCCTTAAGAATCATAGTATTAGATTAGCTAACTTTATATTACTTCACGAAAGGCCAGAGATATAAAATAAGAATTTCCTAAGGAAATTATTAGTCTGTATATATAGATTAGTATAAAGAAGGTTATTCCTATCTTTCAGTATTAATACTAATTGATTCTACTCTTTTCTTACTAAATAAACTTATCTTATTCCTCAGTAAACTACTAAATAGGCTACCAGCCTGGTATTCTTTCTTGACAAAGATTTATATATCTAAGCCTATTATTTAACTCCCACTATTCATAGTAAACTGCCTTATATTTCTTATTTAAAGTCTGGATTTTCTTCTCAGCTTTCTGTTTCTCTTTGGTAGTTTTAGACTTGAAGATATATATAGAACCTTACTAAGTTAGTAAATCCAAGAGCTGGCTTGAAGAAACTTATTTTTTTAATTATATAAAAAAGCACCCTAGACCATAAAATCTGCCTTACTTTTCCAGCAGTATTGAATACATAAGACTTTATACTTCTTGTAAGTATAGTACCAGATTCTTTGGGTGCCACAGTACTGGTCTATATAGACTATAGTTTTGTCTGTAAATATAAGGTCTTTTAATCCACTATTCTATATATATTCCTTAAACTAGAGGCAGAATTCCAGGCGTCGTTTCTTTATTTCAGGGGTTAGACCAGGCTTTTTAGTGGGCTTGACTAATTTAAAGCTATATTTCTTCAAAATATAGTATACTAATATTATTAAAATATCTAGTTTAAACGCCATCATCTTATATATTTGTAATTGAGAAGCCCGGTTCTTGTAGACTATATTAATAAGCTGATTTATTATAGAATCAGTTATTTCTCTAGGTTATCCGGAACGAGGCGCGTCTTAAATATATTAAAGAAGAATTTATAGATTATATTAAGAATTAAATCCATATTCCTTGGCTATTCTTATCTACTGAAGAATAGTGTCTCTTAACAGACCCGTGACTATAATAATCAAGGATATCTTAACTCCAGTATAATATAGGGAAAGTGCCTGAACACAGCTTCCAAGATCATGGCATTCCTATATAGCCATGGCAGTAGTGGTGTTAGCTGGCTGGCTGGAAGAACACCATGAATTCCTATATTTCCCGCGTTTTTTTTCTTTTTAAGAGCTTCATTTTTGCTTTTTATGAAAAAAATAAATAAGATTCAACACATTATCTCTCTCTAACTTCATTTTATAATCTATTATATTAATTTATATGACGGGTGATAACTGAACATTACGTTGATTACTGCCAAGAGAATTAGCATTGTTCTATAACTTTTGGTACACGCCTCCGTAGTTAATAATTCTTTTACTAATTTTATAGTCTAATTAGTATCTTAGCTTTATATAGATATAAATAATAGCTTAGTTCCTAGTAAAAATAACTACTAATATAGACTTTAGAATAATTATAATTAATTTTATCTAAGAAATAATTTTTTATAGATAAAGTATTCTAACTTCTTCTTAGTAAAAATTAGAACTAATTTAATAGTAGTAAGCTTAGTAGTATATACTATATATATATATATTATTATAGCTAACTAGTTAGATATAATTCTTATTATAAATTACTATAATAGTTACTAGAGTAGCTACTACTATTAATATATATAGAGAGAATAATAGAAGATAAAAGAATATATCTCTGGATAATCTCTTCTTTAGAATTAGTAATATCTATAGATAGAGACTTCTACTATAGAAAAACTATTATTAGTTTAATAGTCTCTATAAATATTAATATATCTAGATTAAGCTTAAGATCTTTAGCTAATTAATATTCTAGCTAATTAAGTAGTAATATAACTAGATTAATTTCTAAACTACTAGAATAGTATTTTCTAGAGTATATTTAGTAGATAGATAGTAAGATTCTATAATAGAATAGTAATACTATAATCTAAAAATAGATATTCTTAGTAGTATATTTTATAAAAATCTATAATAATAATATATCAAAATAGACTTTAAGAATAGTTTAGAAAATAATATAAAAGATCTTACTTATCTAATATAGAATCTTATATTAAATATTCTTAAAATACTTTATAATATAAATAGTTATCTTCTAGAATCTCTAAATATTAAAGATAAATTAGATAAAGTATTTAAAGAGTAGCTGTAGAAGTATAATAGTAGTATATATATAATAGAGATTAGTAGTAGATATATCTTAGATAGAGTCTATAATTAAGAAAAGTACTATAATAATATAATAAATTAAATAACTTTAACTTTTAACTATATAAAATAGATAGTTTCTACTAGTTCTAGATCTAAAAAGATTCTAAGATAATAGAGACTCTATATTAATTTAATTATTATATTTATAATAGTTAAGAACTTATTTAATTATATAGTAGAGAATATTTCTATATAAGAAACTTCTTACTATATTAATTAAGTTATATTTTAAGAATAAGAATATTAAGATATATTAATATTACTAGTTCTTAATATATTAGTAGAGATCTTATAAATAAATATAATTCTTAAAAATATATCTCTCTATATTAGTATATAGATATTATTTATATAATTAATGATTAGAATATAGCTATCTATAGAAAGTAGTTTAAATAGATTAGTATTATAAAATAAATAAAGAATAGATAAGAATAGTAAATCTTAAGTAATATCTATAATTAATTTTCTCTTCTCTATAAATCTCTTCTATGTAGTAATAGTAGTTTACTAGTTAATAAAAAAGAAGATAATCTAGTTAATAATTTTAATTAGTATATAGTATTTTTATATATTATAAATAAGATATTAATAAATAATATTATTATAAATATCTTAAGTATCTACTATAAGTAGACTAGCTATTAGATAATTAGACTATTATATAATATAAATATATTTAAAAATAAGATATTAGATATAATTATAGAATTATTCTTAGTATTTATTAATATAATATTTTAGAAGTAAATCTAAAGTCTTTATAATATAACTTATCTAAGAAATAATAATAGTCTTTAGAATCTTATTTATAGTATTAAATAGTATAATTATATAATAGTTCTTAGATATAATATAATTATTCTTACTAGATTTATAAATAATAATAGTAGTAGAGTAGTAGAAGTACTAAGAATAGTAGTCTATATTAGAATATATATTAAAGATCTTACTTAGATATTTTTTAAAAAGAAAAAAAACTTACTAGAAAATTAGATTAGATATTAATTAAAGATTTTTCTAGATATAATTTATTAAATAGCTTAGTAGATCTTCTTTAGAATTATCTAGAATACTTTATAAGACTTAAAGTACTTAAAGTCTTTAATATTAATAAGATATATAGTACTAACTATTAGAAATAAGATCTATTAAAATAACTTAGCTTTAGTCTCTAATTTCTTAACTAGGTTACTAGTTAGTACTTATAATATAAATATAAATATTAGCTATAGATTTCTCTATATATAAATCTAATAGACTAATTTCTAAAATCTTTTTATAAAGTATTCTTTATCTTTTATTCTCTCTTAATAAAACTAATACTTCTACGTAGTAGTCTATTAATAAAATATAATATAAACTTAGCTATAGATTTTATAATCTATATTATAATTAGATTTAGTCTATTATTTTACTTATTATATCTAGTATTTTAGTTTCTTTATTTTCTTAATATAGCTAAACTATATATAATTCATAATTATCTTTATTAATATAGTAGTTTTAGTAATTATAGTTAAGATCTTAATAAGATTCTCTATTATAGTATTAATAATAATTAGTCTAACTAGTTAATATATAAATAGTTATAGCTATAGACTCTTAGCCAAGACTTTATAATAGATTTACTAATTAATATTTAGCTAGTCCTAGTACTTTACTATAGAAGTAGATATAGAACTAAAATTAAGTATAGTATAGATTAATATATAATTAATATCTAGCTACTAGTTCTTCTATAGAGAATAGTAACTAAGATATTTATTAAGCTACTATATGGTCTATATAGAATTAATTATAAAATAGATATTATTCTTTTTATATATAATTATTTTCTTAGATAGAAGTAGCTTTAGATCTTTATTAATAGTAATATTAAGTAGTTAAGTAGTTATCTTATTAGTATAATTATATTCTAGTAGATTCTAAAGTAGATAATATGGATTAAAATCTTTAAAAACTATATATTTATCTAGTTTCTTATAATATTATAGATAGTAGTTTTACAATTAGATTCTTTTTCTCTTTATAAAGATCTGTATCTTTAAGTCTAAGTATAGACTTAGACTTATTAATTTTATAATAATTACTATTTCTACTAGACTAGTATATATTATAGATATAGATATAAATTAATATTTAGTATCTATAATATAAGAATATAGAGAAACTAGAAATGGTATTAGATTATATATATTTTTAGATTAATATATCTATTTATAAAGAAGTAGATATATAGTATAAGATCTATACTAAATATTAGTTTTATAATTAAATCAAAATAGTCTTCTAGAATATAGAAGTCTATAATTAAATAACTACTATAGTAGTTTATCTAGAACTCTTAAATAATAATAAGCTCTATATTCTATATTCTCTTCTTATTAAAAAGATATATTATAATATTATTAGATTTCTAATAGTTTATTTATATAATTTTAAGCTACTTATAGTAGTTAAATATTACTAATAGTTTTAATAGAACTAATAAATACTTTAATATTAGCTATTATAACTATAATTAGTAGCTTCTATAGTACTTTAGATACTAGAAATATAGCTATATTAAGTAATACTATTAAAGAAATAAGATCTATATATACTATACTAGACTATATAAATTACTAAACTATATATTTAAGAATAATAAAATATATACTAAGTATATAAACTATAAATTAAAGTACTTTATCTTTAACTATATATATATTAAGAAGAAGAAATATCTTAAGACTATCTAATAATATTAGCTAAATATATCTATACTATATATTAAATTCTCTATTAGTAGTAGTAATACTACTGCTTTAACTAGATAAATTAATACTATTCTAGAATCAAGTTCTAAGCTAGCTTAATTATAATATATCTATAGCTATTTAACTATAAAGACTAAGACTAAGACAACTTATAGTAAGAGCTGCTGTAAATTAATTATAAAGGAAGAGATTATAAAGATTCTAGTTATAGAGATTCTTACTAAGATAGAAATCTTCTATAGTAAGTAGCTGAAGTAATACTATAAAAAGAGTAACTAAAAAATTATAGAGATTAATATCTATAGCTGAAGCTTCTCTATAAATAATACTATAGTATAGACTATAGTAAAGTCTACAGTAGCTTTAGTCTATAGTCTTAAGAATATTCTATTATAAAATCTATAAACTACTACTATAGCTAATACTATAATTAATTTATTATTCTAGATAAAAGTAGTAATAATAAGCTTAGTACTCTTACTCTTAATACTACTAATTCTACTAAGACTATTAGTAATATATAGATACTATAAATAGTTTAAAATTATATAGATAAATTATTAGAAATTTAATAATATTATAATATACCTCCTTAGTAAGAAGAGGATATAGAATATAGAACTTATTATTATCTAAGAGGACTAGATAAACTACTATAGTAGCTATCTGACTATATACTTATAGACTCTAGAAGACTATTTCTATTTATCTATAAAACTAATATCTAGTATAGATCTTATACTATATGTCTACTTCTTTATAAGTAGATATATTAATCTAAAAATATAGATAACCTAATACTATTTCTAGTTTCTCTATATTCTTATACTATAGATACTAGATACTAGATATATCTATATCTATAACTTATACCAGCCT